GTTTTTTTTCAATGCAGAGGAGCAATTCTGGATAGCAATAGCACTTAGACTTATATACTGCTTCATAGTGCTTTACAGCCCTCTCTAAGCGGTTTACAGAGTCAGCATCTTGCCCCCCAAAAATCTGGGTCCTCATTTTACTATCCTTGGAAGGATGGAAGCCTGAGTTAACCTTGAGCCGATCAGGATCAAACCGCTGGCAGTCGTCAGAATTAGTCTGCAATGCTTCATTCTAACCACTGCACCACCATGACTTTAGAAAGAACTGACCCCATCATAGTTAAGGTGAATTGGGCTGATTGGAGTCTCCAGGTAACTAGAATTTTGTGTGTTACTAGACAAAACTGGACTCCTTTGTTCAAGGGACAGGAATGTAGAAATTGTTCCTCTAAAATAGGGGTCCCCAACCTCCTTGTTGTAGATTAGTACCGGTCCCCGGACTATTAGGAACTGGGCCGCACAAGTGAGCAAAACTTCATCTGTGCATGTGCTGAATCTAGACAACATGTGAAACCATTCCACACACAGTCCTTGGTCCGTGGAAAAATTGTTTCCCACCAAACCAGTCTCTGGTGATAAAAAGATTGGAGACTGCTGCTCTAAATCCAAAGTAGGAAGCCATGCCCTTCTAGAAGTTGGAGAATTATAATTCCTAATGATTTCCTAATCTGGCAACAGCCCTGGGAATCTTTGGCAATCTCCCATCAGCTTATAACTTTGAAGCAAACCTGCCACCTGGTGAGGTACATCCTTTAACATTTCCCAAATGTAACAGGCTGCAGTCATCTTTGCCAACAGAGAGGGGGCTGTCCTTCTCTCTCTTGCACATCGATCTTCAGCCAGACTCAACCAGAGGTGAGGTAGAAATATCTGCACATGTCTAGTCTTTCCAACTCGTTATTTCTTTTACATTGTTTTTATGTCAATTCCTTCCAGCTGATTTATCGTGGAAAGCATTACATCAGCATTCAAGGGAAACAAAAGAACAAGTGGACATTTAAACTGTCTTGTCAATTTCTGGAGTTGATAATACTGATGGGCTGACATTATCTCCTGTTGCCCTGGGAGTGAATGGCTTCAGCTGAATCCAAGGGAGTTGCAGCTGAACATAGACAACTCCTGTGTATACAATGTCACCCAGAACGGTCAGGGCTATCCAAGTTCACACCATAAACCATAGTCTACTCAACCATAATTAACTGAATAAACTTCAGCAGGCTGGGTTTCACAGCACACCACACCATAAATTGTGATTTGGGTAAACTTCAAGAGTTCCGTTTCTATATTTGAGCCCAGACCAAACTTCATTAATTTTGTTTTACTTTTGACTTAAGCAGAATGGAATTCAGATCTCACATTAAAGTCTAATGTGGTTTATTTGCGGCTTCCGATTGTACACAAAGTCAGCCACTGTGATTTGTAAACCATGGTTTGTGCTATGTGTGAACCAATCCGTTATAGTTGATTCAAGAAGTGCAATCCCAAAGAGTCATCCCTGCGTGGATAAAATATGGAGATTCAATTAAAGTGCATATTTTTTCCCACTCCAAAATGTTCAAGCACGTGATATACTAGCATATTTTCTCCTAGGGAAATTACAGTTGAGCCTAGAATCATTGGATTGTATGGTTTTCATTCTTTTCTTCCTCTTTATCAAGAGAAATGGTGATAAAAAGCCACTAAAACATCACAATCTTTTCCCTTCCAAGGCTGCTCATCCACCGCCTTTCACAACTGCTGAAGCCAACCACTTGGAAACCTTTTTAAAAGGGAGGAAATGAGGAAATGATAAAGCCCAGAAAGATGCTTTTCCCCCTTGTGACCCACCAGCACAAGCAATCATAATAAGGCTTTATTGTTTTATGAAGTGTCTTCTCTGCCTGGCAGATTTCAGAATGCTGGAGATTAAGTGGCACAGTTAGCAAATTAAATAATGTTTTACAAAGCACCGGATGACTCTAGAGATTAGTAATGGGCTAATGAACTCTTTTGCATCTAGGTCACCATTTTAGAACCCAACAGCTCCTTTGGTAGCAATTTATAATAAAGTGGGGGAGTCTAATTGCTAGCAGGTGTGCTGTGTGAAATAAATTAGCTACATTTTCTGACCCCCTACTCCAGTGTTTCCCAAACTTGACAATTTTAAGGCATGAGGACTTCAACTCCCAGAATTCCACAGCCAGCAACACTGGCTGTGGAATTCTGGGAGTTGAAGTCCACATGCCTTAAAATTGTCAAGTTTGGGAAACACTGCCCTACTCCAACCCAACTTTCTTTTTTTAAAAAATCCTGTAAATAGCTAGAAATCAGGACCTAAGAAGCTGAGAAAGGAATAATAACCCCTAGTTTCTCCCCCATCACCACCTTTTCAAAGGATTTAGGCCAATATTGACCAGGTTCAACCCTGGTCTAATAACATATGAAGAATGGTTACAGGCTAAAACATATGAAGAATGGTTACAGGAACTGGGCTAGTCTAGTCTAGTGAAGAGAAGGACCAGGAGAGACATGGTAGCAGTCTTCCAATATTTGAGGGGCTGTCACAGAGAGGCGGGGGTCAGCCTATTTTCCAAAGCACCTGAAGGCCAGACAAGGAATAAGGATGGGAACTGGTCAAGGAGACATTCAACCTGGAAATAAGGAGAACTTTTCTGACAGTGAGAACAATCAACCAATGGAACAGATTGCCTTCAGAAGTTGTGGGAGCTTCATCATTGGAAGCTTTCAAGAAGAAATGGTGTAGGATCTCCTGTTTGGGCAGGGGGTTAGACTAGATGATGTACAAGGTCTCTTCCAACTCTGTTATTCTAATCTAACCCAATGCTTACCCATAGTTAACATAAGCCATGCTTTCCTTAAAAGAAGTCTTTTGAGAGTTCCAAGAAGATCAAACCAGTCAATGCTAAAGGAAATCAACCCATGACAGTCCTTGGAAAGGAGAGATCCTGAAGCTGAAGTTCAAATACTTTGGCCCTCAGATGAGAAGACTGGACTCATTGGAAAAGACCCCAGTGTTGGGAAAGATGGAAGGCAAAAGGAGAAAGGGGATGGTAGAGGATGAGATGGTTGGATAGTGTCATCAACGCAATGAGCACAAATTTGAGCAAACTCCAAGAGAGAGTGGAGGACAGGTGGACCCTGACATGCTATGGTCCATGGGGTTGTTGAGGCTTGGGCATGATTTAGTGATTGTACAACAACATGCACAAAATGCCACAAAATTCAAATGCAATTGGTGAACATGTGCTTAGTCTGTTGTGTGAATACAAGCATTGTAAGGAGGTTGCTTACTCACAAGCCCCCATTCATAGATTGGGGACAACTCAATTAAAGTGAGGCTTTTTTTTGTTTTGTTTTTTTAATGAATGAATTAAACACTAACTGGATTTACACAGTATACTAAGGCATAATGTAATTAGGATTGCTATAGCATTAATCTACCGTGCCACTTGTGGTAATATGGTTTAGTACTAATATGTTAATTAGTAAATTAACATATTGATACATTTATGAATGAACTTCCACAAGCTTGGGGAAGTAGCATTTAAAACATCTATTCTCTTTCATACTTTTCTAAAAAATCAATGTTGCACTTTTTCCAGCCTGGTCTCCTCCAGATGTGTTCAGTGCGGCTTCAGGACGAAGGTTGTCTTGCAAAATTGGGAAAACATTCTGCAGGGTGCAGGACATGTTCCAATATTAGAGCGTTATGGACATTTCCAGAGTCTATTAATCCTTATCCTATTGTACAAGGCAGCATTGTATGAAAAACACGACATATTCCAGATTAATGGAGTTTGGTCTAGTCATGGTTAAGGCACCAGACTAGGCATCAGGAGACTGAGTTGTTCCCATCTTAAGCGTGAAAGAGACTGAGTGATTTTGGGCCAATCCCTGGGAGACTGACAGTTCTAATCTTGCCTCAGCTTCAGCCATGAGAGCCGGTTGGGTGACTTTGGGCCAAACACCAGGAGACTGGGAGTTCTAGTCCTTCCTTAGGCATCAAAGCCAGCTGGGTTTGTTGGGGCCAGCTAGGGAGAAATAAATGTGTGTGTGTGTGTGTGTGTGTGTTCATATAATATATATTATACTATATATTATCTAATTATATTAACATTATATTACATTATATATATTTGTGTGTATTTGTATAATGTACTATATATAGTATATTATACTGATAATATACTATATATAGTATATTATACTGTATATTATTATCTAATAATTTTCTTAATATCATTATATTACAATATATCATATATATTTGTATGTGTGTGTTTGTATAATTTATACCATGCTATATATGATCTAATTATATTAATATATTTCATTATAATATATATATATATATATATATATATATATATATATATATATATATATATATATATATATATATATATATATAGTTTGTATACTATATATTAATATTAATACAATTATATTACATTATATTACATTATTATGTATAATAAAGGGGGGAAATAAATAAAACTATGCATCCTATTGCAAGTCAAGGGGAGGGTGCTGCCTTTGGAGACCCAGCAGACCCAGGTCAAGCACCAGGTGACTTTGGGGCAAGTGCCTCCCCTTCCAGCCCTGTCCCCCTCTCCTACAGGGTTGTTGTTGAAGGAGCCCTGGGGGGAAGGGAGGAAGAAGCGAAGTTGGCGCTCTGCCTCTCCAAACTGGACTGCAAACTGGGCCAGCCAAAGCAGGGAGAGCTACTCCAGCCTGTTTGCACCGAGGCAAGCGCCAGCTTCGGGGGCGAGAGGGGACGCGGGGGGGGGGAGAGAGAAAGTACTCGCAGAGGGGGAAGAGAGCTGGACGGGGAAAGAGTGGGTGGGTGGGAAGGTGAAACCCGACCGCCCCCCCCTCCTTCCCGCTGCCGCCGCCGCTGCTGCTCCAAGGTGCACCGTCGGCGTCTCGCGGGTTAATCCGCGCCCCCCCCCCACTCCCGGCGCCCTGGGCTGAGCTGCGCGGGCGAAGGAGGCTGGGCTGCTCCGCGCCACCGCCTGCGCCGGGGAGCCCGAAGTGGCGGTCAGTGATGGACTGGCTGCCATGACAACCCCGGGAAGTCGGCGCGGGCGTGTCTGCGTGCGCCGGGCGGCCAGCGGGCCATTCCGGCACTGGGGACAGCGCCGAGCCGCCCAGCCCGGGGACAGCGCCGAGCCGGCCGGCTGAAGCGGGGCCCCGCCAGCCGCCGCCGCCGCCTGCCTGCCTGTCTGCCTGTCTCTCGCGCCCAGGCAACCAGGAACTCCGCGCCGCAATTCGCCCAGCCGGAGCGCAGCTGGGCTCGGCCGGCAAGAAGTTGCCCGGGCGTCCCGGAGGCTTAGCCCGGGCTTTGCATTCGGGCTCGCCGGAGCCGGGACTTTGGGAACTCTGGACGGGCAGGCTGCGGACCGGCGGCGGCGGCGGCATCTCCCCTTCCGAGGCAGCAGCGCTCCAGCTCGGGCTGGCCAAGCGGGGGATGCCCGCTGAACTCCGCGCCGCAAAGCGGGGCTGGTGAAGCGCGCAGCAGCCGGCCACCTTCGCCGCCGCTTCTTCCCCTCCTCCTCCTCCTGCTGCTGCTTCTCTTGCCGCCTCTGCTCGGCTCTGGATTGCCAGGGGTTCCGCACCCCCTTCCTCCATCACCCCGTCTTTTTTTTTTTTTTTGGCCCCCAGTTTTTGGGACTGCTGGTGCCCTTTTGGCTCTTGCGCTTTGCGCCCCCGCCGGGGTGGATCTTGTCTAGCGCTAACTAGTCCCCGCATCGCAGGATGGGGCTCGTGGGGGGCTTGGTCCTGCCCTGGCGGTGCCTGGTGGTCGTGTGTCTCAGGCTGCTCTTCCTTGTGCCCGCAGGAGTGCCGGTGCGCAGCGGAGAAGCCACCTTCCCCAAGGCCATGGACAACGTGACGGTCAGGCAAGGAGAGAGCGCCACCCTCAGGTAGGAGCGCAGGCTTGCCCTGGGGGTTCAGGGGGGGGCGAGGGAGGGGGACTGGGAAGGGGAGGGGGTAGTACTAGGGGAGATGGGCTAAGATGGGGCAGAACGGGCGGCTTGGAGGGTTGGAGATTTGGGGGATGGGGTAAGAAATCTCGGGGAGCCAGCTAAAATCCTCTGGGCTTGGGGAGGGGGGGGTGTAAAGCCAAAAAGAAAAGAAAAAAGTAGTTGCAATCTGGGGGCTCTTGTCGGAGTCCGGGATGGCTGCAGGCATGAAGAGAAGCAGGGGATGATGGGTCTGGTACTGCTCTTCTCTCTTCTTCCCAGAGGCTGGGTCTGGAGCATATTTCTGCTCTACCTGCCTGGCGCTGTGGTTGAGGTATGGATATGGAGGCTATCCAGCAGCTAGGCTAAAAGACTGCTAGCCCCGTCTTCCAGAAGGAGCCAGTCAGACATTTGTGGGACTGTTGGTTCTGAAAAGCGCTGGCCTTTTCCGGAAGGTGGAAGAGGAGATTCTGGCTGGGTTATCCTCTCCTGGCTGCTGTTTGCAGGAGGAGGAAGCTGGAAATGGGGGAAGCAGGAAAGGGTTTGCTGCAGGGATTTGAGAGGGGTGCCTTCCAATCCAACTGAACCCTGATGTTTAAATGTTTTCTCCCCTTCTGGGAATGATATTTCGATGATATTCTACGCTTGAAACTTGGTGCTCAAAATCTGTTTCCAGATAAGCGAGAGACTGCCTGGCCCTTGGAAGTGAGGCCTTAGGGCATGGGTGTCCAGCTGTGGCAACTTTAAGACCTGTGGACTTCAACTCCCAGAATTCCCCAGCCAGCAGGGCTGGTTGGTGGATTCTGGGAGTTGGAAGTCCACAGGTCTTAAAGTTGCCAAGATTTGGACACCCCTGCCTCAGGGGAACAACAGTTCAGAGAGGCCCACAACACAACAGTGTGAGTCTTTGGAAAGCTGATGTCATGTTTTCACTCAGCACTGTTAAGCAATGAAATCCGTAATTTGTTGAAACAGCAAGAATTAATGAGATTAATGTACAGTGCAGAATGATATACCACAAGGAGTTGCGTAACCAGGCTACAGATGTAATACCAGCTTTACGCCACTTTAATTCTTATGGGCTTCTAGGCAGAATTTTTGAGCTGTCAGAACTGAATGAAGAAGTTGGGAGATCACTATTTATTTACTTACTTATTTATTTATTTATTCTCCAAGAATGATAAAGCAAGGTTCTTTAGAAAGATGGAGAAATGCCTAGGTCAGAACATGGCTGCATTCCCAAATTATCTGATCAGAAATAAATATTGTAGCGTATGCTGAAACTCATTACTACTGAATTAACATAATGTAGTTTATGTTAGCTGTCTGTAAAGGAACTATGCCCTGTTATACCATGAAGCTTTAATTTTAATTAGACCGGTGGTCATATAGATATGAAAAGAAAAAAAGCAAACTAAAAAAAAAAAACAAGTGATAAATGATTTGCCATAGAGGATAAAAAATTGGGATTTTATATTTGTCTTCCTTCTACCCTCTTCTACCCCTTCTACCTGTGGACCTCAACTCCCAGAATTCCCCAGCCAACATAGCTGATGGGAGAATTCTGGGAGTTGAAATCCAGAAGTCTTAAAATTGCCATGGCTGGATGCCCCTAGCCCAGGGGTAGGCAACCTTGGCTCTTTTATGACTCACGGACTTCAACTCCCAGAATTCCTGAGCCAGCCATGTTGGCTCAGGAATTCTGGGAGTTGAAGTCCACAAGTCATAAAAGAGCCAAGGTTGCCTACCCCTGCCCTAGCCTAAGGCATCACTTCCAAGGGCCAAGCAGTCGATAGCCTATCTGGAAACAGACTCTGAGCCTTAACTAGAGCCTAATAAAAGATGATATCGAGTTCCATACAAAGACTGATGATGATGATGATGACAATGATTTTTCTTATAAGCATTTGGCAGCTATTAAGATTTGAGCAGAAACCCCTTCCTCTCATCCATGCACAGAATTGTAGGATTAGCACATCCCAAAACACAATTTAAATGGAGCGAAAGGATCTTGAATTGGGTATCCAGGCTTACTATTTGTTGAAATGGCATGTTTTTCTTCTTGTTGGCCCGCTTATTCATAACCGACTGTGACCCAAATCTTGGAGATCTAGGAAATAGCATGACAAGTTCTTTTGTCTTAAGGGTAGGATAGTATTTCAGATAAAGACTGTATGTTTTGCATACAATGAATAAAACTTGGGTTCAGTTCCAGGCACCTTCAGTCAGTATAACTATAAGATGATGTCATTCTATTGAAAACCCTGGAGGACCATTGCTAGCGATTATGGCCAGGGATGGGCCATGTAGACAGACTGTTGGACACAGTTTGGTTCACACAATGTGCTCAGCCATCTGGTTATTGTAGTTTGGCCTTAATGTGTTCTGCGAAGCAGCTATTGTACTTTGTAACAGCTCAGATTTAGGACGTGTAGTTAGCAAGCACAAAAGTCATATGTAGAAATTGAATGTTTTTTATTGGATTTCTTTATGTTTTGTGAAATAATTCAGTAGACATTATGTATTCTGCAATATTGGATTTCTTAAGTGACAGAAGTAGCTCCAGAAAACGGGGGCACTCGTTGGTAAATTGAAACATTCAAAGATTCAGGTGTTCATGCAGGCATAAACACAGGTATAAATGAAATGTGTTTTTTTTTCTTTTCTTTATTCTTGCATTGTACCACTAGTATAATTGTTGAAGAAACTGTATTTTCTAAGGGAAAATGAAGGGAGGGAGGCAGGGAGCGAAATGAAAATTCTAATAAAACCTTTTGTTGGAAATACTTTAGGCCATTAGGAAGGGATAAAAAAAAGCTTTGCATAATTATGTAACCGAACATGAGCCTCAAAACTTGCTTCTAGTTCAACAATTAATTGTTAACAGTTGTTAGGTTTGGCATTCCTTTCAAAATATTTAATCTAGCCTGACCTGACTTGGCTTATGGGGTGCAAGTGTTTTGCTGTAATCCTCAACATTTCGTCTGATTAGATCAGGGTGGCAGCATTAGTTTTTTCCATCTATATTCCTAACACAAATGATGATGCACAACAGTACATACTACTCCAGGCTTCCAAACCAGGTTACAGACCAGTTATTCTACCCGTTGCTTTTGCGATAACCTGCACGAGATGCTGTTAGCACAAAGAGGAAATACCTTGCAATTCTTCTGGGCTTTTGGATTAGTTTCCTCCAGTCCGCTGTTCCTGCAAATTCACTTTCCTGCACTGACATATTCCCTCTATCCTTGTCCAACCACGGCAAGGCTTGTTAGCAGATCTGTATTCATGTTCCTTCCCAGGTTCAGACTCTGGCTCACCATTCCAATGAAATATTCATCTCATCTTGATGTTTATAAAGTTCAGAGCCTGAACTTTTTCCTCCTCTGAAATTATTTATTTCGGGACTCTGTATTATAAAAGTATAATGCTGACCTGTTTTCCTCCACTACCTCCCCCTCTTCCTCTTCCTCCTCCTCCCCCTCCTTCTCCTCTTTCTTCTCCTCTTCCTCCCCTCCTCTTCCTCCTCTTCCTCTTCCTCCTCCTCCCCCTCCTCTTCCTCTTCCTCCCCCTCCCCTCCTCTTCCTCCTCCTCCTTCTCTTCTTCCTCCTCCTCCCCCTCCTCTTCCTCCTCCTCCTCCCACCTCCTCCTTCCTCCTCCTCCTTCTTTTCCTTCTCTTCTTCCTCCTTCTCCTGTTCCTCTTCTCCTCTTCCTCCTCCTTTTCTTCCTCTTTCTCCTCCTTCTCCCTCTCCTCCCCTCCTCCTTCCTCCTCCTCCTCTTCCTTCTCCTTCTCTTCTCCTCTTCTTCCTCCTCTTCCTCTTCCTCTCCTCCTATTCCTTCTTTCTCTTTCTCCTTTTCCTCCTCCTCTTCCTCCTCCTCCTCCTCTTCTTCCTCCTCTTCCTCCTCCTCCTTCTCTTCCTCTTCCTCCTCCTCCTTCTCTTCTTCCTCCTCCTCCCCCTCCTCTTCCTCCTCCTCCTCCCTCCTCCTCCTTCTCTTCCTCCTCCTCCTTCTTTTCCTTCTCTTCTTCCTCCTCCTCCTTTTCCTCCCTGTTGATTTTTGCCCCATTTGCGACTTTTCTTGCGGTTGTGAAGTGAATCACTGCAACTGTTATGTTAGTAACTCGGTTGTTAAGTGAATCTGTCTTCTCCTTTGACTTTGCTTGTCAGAAGGTCGCAAAAGGGGATCCCGTGACCTTGGCACCCAGCACTGGTTCCAAGTATGAACCAGCTGCCAAGCCCCTCTGAATGTTGATTGCATGATACTGGGGCTGCTGCCAAGGTTACAACGCTGTGGCAAAGGTTGTAACTGCGAAAAAGGGTCATAAGCCACTTTTTTCAGTGCCATTGTAACTTTTGAGTGGTCAGTAAATGTTCTGTTGTAAGTTGCGGACCGCCTGTATAGAAAGTAAAAGAAAAAAAAAATAGAAAGTACAAATCGGTCAGTGATTCCTTGGATTTAAATCCTGTTAAATCAAGAAAATACATTTGCGGAAAGTTGGGCTGTGAGAATGCCATTTTAAGCTCCCGTAGTTCTTAGCACATCCCACACAATGAAGGAGACTTATCCCTCCCAAAACATATGTGTGCTTGGATTGTAAAGCTAGCTACTTGAAATCAAGCAGCCTTGTGGTGCTTGAGGAAAGGAAGGCACCCTTTAATAAATGAAAAGGTTATTTGGATGACAGAAAACTAATTTCTTGATTGACACAAAGATGCAATTAGAATAATCCAATATGACTCCATCAGAGATAATGCAGCATGGGAACAGATGGCGACTATATTGAGGTAACCATAAGGTGCACATAAACTAGATTCCACCGAAGTGGTTCTGAGCAGCCTTTGTGTTTTGACGTGGGCCAAATCTGTTGGGTTGATTATTGTAGTGAGGTGTGCAATTAACTAAATTATTGAAAAAAGGAGGCAGGGGAGCCAATTTTCACTCCTGCGAAAGACAAATGAAGG